CATGAGAGTGAAAATTGTCAATTCTCGTGTTAATTACAAAAAAGATGTGTCTTGATAGATCTACAAAAAGGCTTCTATACACTTTTTGCGTGGGGTTCAAAGTAAAGGCGCTAGAGGGCATTTTCTAAATGTTATACTTAAAGTCCCTAGATTACTAAAGTAACGCGAATAGCAGCTATTTTGGTTCATTTTGGGAACTGCGAAATTTGAAATTGAGCAACAGTTGGAAAGTATGTAAAAAGTGTGTATTTTGTAGTCGCTCTTGGATTGTGCGGATACTTTGGGATAGGGCAAGTTTTCTGAGCGTATCGTTTAAGCCAAAAATATAATTGCATCGCGTTTTCAATCGTTTCACCACTCCACATAAAACCCTTGTGTGTACCCAATTCTAAATGTTTTAATTGATCTTCAATAAAAGTTTTCGAAAAATTGTCATCACTTCTGAGTAATTTCTTTTTTCGGTTTATGTTTTCTTACAAAAGTGCCTAGACGCGCTTCTCTAATGAATTACTGGTTACATCAGTACTCTCCTTAATGTACACATAACTAATACAAAACAACAAATGTCAAACCTGTCACTAGTAGTCCGAGGAATAGATGGTTTTAACTTACAAAATGAGAAGTAGTTCCGATTTCTTTTGCATGTCATAGACAGTCATTTGGTGGTTACGAATCTAAGTTTTCGACCTCCCACCTCTTGTGCTTCCCCCGTACCACCCCCAAAACCTATGACATTTGGTTGGTTTCTTAGTTTGTCAATCATATCTTTTTAATGGCTTACTTTACAAAAAAATATTGTTATCAGAAATTATAGACTATAAGATTCTACATAACTTTAATCTACACTACTTTTTTGTGAAATGTTTATTAAAAAAGATATAGAGCTTGAGAGTTGGTTATATTTTTAAAAATTCTGAAATTTGTATGTAGATGTTTTAACCAAATTTTATACTTTATCTCTATAATTAAGAGTTTTATGAGAAAATATCTTGAATTTATCGTGGTATAAATCCCCCTACCGTGCACCCTTACCAAAGGGGATGCATAATAATGAAACTTGCAACCCTTGCCAGTGAGGATATTAGAATCACTGTGAGATTGTAGCGCTTTCTAATATTTTCGTTTGAAATTAAAAAATTGTGTCAATTTATTTTAACCTCCCCCCCTCCTCCCGCGGTATGAATAGATTTTAAACGCTATTGTGGCGATTGATAAGTTAAATCCTCTTTAAATATCTATTCCTACCGCGGCGTGTGGGGGGGGGGGGGGGGGGAGGATGAAGCTCAACTGAAGTGAGATAATTTTTTTGTTTCAAACGTATATTAGAATCGCTACAATCTCACAGTGATTCAAATATCCCCACTAGCAAGGGTTGAAAGTTGAATTATAGAGATAAAGTATAAAATTTGGTTAAAACATCTACATACAAATTTTAGAATATTCTTAAAAATATAAGCAACTCTCAAGCTCTATATCGTTTTTAATAAACATTTCACAAAAAAATAGTGCATCAAAGTTGTGTAGAATTTTATGGTCTACAATTTCTGATAACAATATTTTTTTGTAAAGTGAACCTATAAAAAGATATGAAAAATAAAAAACCAACCAAATTTCTTTGGGTTTAAGAGTGGTACGGGGGAAGCACAAGGGGTGGGAGGTCGAAAACTTGGATTCTTAACCACCAGATATTCTTCCATGACCTGCAAAAAAAAATTGGAACTACTTCTCATTTTGCAGGAAATGGTCCGTTTTCAGTCTCTACTTCCCGAACTATTTATTAATAGTAGTACAGTCCAAACCTCAACATCCAAAGTAAAAGTTTCCCTCCGACTGCAAATTTTTCTATACAGTCCACAGATTATTTGGTAGAAAGTTACACCATTTTAAACGTCGGGTTTGGTTGGGAGGGGGGAGGAAAGTTGGAAAAATAGTAATTTTGATTAGTTGTTCTTAAATATTTAGCAAACTATGTGGTTTAGTGCGAAAAGTGTCGTATACAAAAATAATCTACAGTAAATTGCGAACAAAAATGGCCTCGTGTATAATCTTGCTAAATTGAACCGTTCCAGAGTTACGGAGGGTGTAAAAGTAGACATTTTTTGTATTTAATCGACTTTCTGGAAAAATGAAATTATGTTTGAAGTAAAGAACACTGAAGATCTGACTTGTTTTCGTACACAAGACCATTTATGTTCGCAATTTATTGTAGATTATTTTTAGATATCGTATTTTTCTCGCCAAACCCCATAGTTTTCTACATATTTAAGAAAGACTCCAAAAACTAGTGATTTACCAACTTTCCTCCCCCCTCCCATTCAAACCCGACGCTTAAAATGGTGTAACTTTTTATCAAACAATATGTGGACTGTATAGAACAATTTGCAGTTGATGGGAAACTTTTACTTTGGATGTTGAGGTTAAGCCGTTTTTTCGACTAATTGCACCGGCCATTTTGGCTCAATTAGCAGTTTGGCCTAATGAATCGCGTTACTTTAGTAATAAAGGGACTTTAGGTGTTGCGTTAAGTTGGCACTCTCTTTAGAAATTGTAAATAGGTAAAAGGTACACAAAAGTAATTTTGAAGTACTCCGAGGTCCACAAAACCAGAGTATTGACGCACAAATCGGCACAAAACAGTGGTATCAGTGTGGATGATGTTCCAGTATAATTAAGTTGGACCTCGAACTGAAAATGTTGATTTTCTGATTCTTCTGATTGGCGTACAAAATTTTGGTGGTACAACAAATTGGGGTGCCGACTTAATCCCCCTACTGAAAATCCTTCCACATACTACAAGAATATAATAACTTTTACGTTGACAGTATGTTTTACTTTGTACATTTTATGTTTCTGGTAGCTGCCGATTGTACTCTGTAACGGAACTATTTGATGGAAATCCCATTATTACAAAAATAAAAAAACATTTACTGTTAACTGTCGTGTAACATCAGCTTCCCCTTGAACATAGCAAGCAAATTTTCGGAGATGCGCAGCGCATTCTTACCAGTGGAGAAAATGTCTAAAATAGTAGTAAAATAGTTGAACAATTTTACCTACACACGACCTCAGGTACCGAGGTTTAAAAAAAGTAAATTGGATTGACTTTATTTGTTTTTAATGA